CGTTCCCCTTTTCAGTTTTTGAAAGCGAGAGCCGCAGTGATGGCCCCGGTGCCGCCCCCGGGCGCGTGAGTGGAGCCAAGCGCCCTTCCCACCCCCGCGGCGTCGCCGCGCCCCGCGGGCCCCTCCCTCAGTGCCCCTCCCTCCGCGCGCCCCCGGCTCGGCGCTAGGGCCCCGCGGCGGTGGGTTTGGGCTCCGCGCCTGTTCGTCGTCGTGTGCTGTGCTGCGCCTTCGCTAAAATCGGGCGGGAAGTAGCGGGGACGGGTCATCACCGGGAGTTCCGCGCAGCTTCCCGCCAGCCTTGGCGCCCCGCGGGACTTGGCGTGGGAGGGGGCAAGGTGCATTGTCCAGCGAGCCGAGGTTAAGATGGGGCACTCGGAGGTTTTCTTTTCCCCCAAGAGACCGTAGGGTTACTTTTAATATTTCCGTGTACTCTTTCAGAAGAAGCGTGTGCTATCCACACTGCCTTTCCTTTTACCCTGCTCATAATAAACGGTGCGTGGCTGAGACAGTTGGAATGTTTGAAAAACTGGATGTGGCCAGGATGCTGTAGAGTTAGGATTGTTAGCTTAAATGACTGCTGCATTTAGGGGGAAAAAGGTGTAGTGACTTGAAAAACGTGTTTTCCAACATGAGACAGGTAATGAATTCATGTAGAATTTCAGAATCAGTATTGGAGTGATCAGATTTCAGTGGTTGGTGCAGCCTTGCAAATAAAGGGCCACTTGCCCACGTGCTTGAAGTCGTTTTTTTGAGCAAGTTCTTCAGATCAGCTGACTGCTAATTATAATTCGTACAAAACTATGTTGAGGTTGTAGAGGTTATATTCTTCTGGCCTTTGTGGAGCTTCTGCTACAATTAAGCTCGCCTCTGACAAGATTAAGACCGTTACTTGGTACAATAGCATAACAGCTTTATTTATATTAGTATTTATTAGTTTGTAACCACTTAGTTTGACTATAAAATTGGAAAATGAGAAACAATAATAGGCAGTGTTGCATACTGAGCCAAGTGGTCTAGATGCTTTATCTCAGGGATAATTTTTTTTTTAAACAAAAGCATAGGTTGCTCCAAATATTTGAATACATGAGTTTGATTTGAATGTGTCCATATGTGAAATGTGTACATGAGAGGTTTATATCTACTTTTGTAAAATAATAGTGCTGGCAATATAAAAAGGATCAGAGTAAATTAATGTGTTTTTAAAAATTGGCTTTAAAATTTCATAGGACTGAAATTAGTCCTTTTATTTGGGTATTCAATAATTTCCAAAGCACATCTCTTATAATCCAAGTTCCTATTATATAATATCACCCAATGAACAGACTATGCACTGACATGGAAAAAAGGTAAATTTTAGGAAAGCCTTTATGGCCTCTTCTTTTCATATCTAATTTCTAAGTGGCATTCTTAATTAAGAGTAAACAAGTGACATAATGAAGCCTGAAGGCTAATTTTCCAATACCAAAGTAAAGAAACAGTGATCTGGCTGTTACTTTGTTGGAGTCTTGCACAATTTCATTTGGCATATAATGTTAGGACTTAAATTAATCTGCAGTGTAGGTAGTTGTGAAAGATTTATGTGCCTGATTTTTAGCTTGCCTTTAACTATCTTAAACATTCACTATTGAGGTTTGTACTTTGTGCATTAAGAAATTAAGGTTTTGATTGGATTTAATTAAATAATTTTAGCAGCTTTGATAATTTTTATAGGAATGACAGTTCCAAAATCCTGAGAATGAGAGTGGGGAGTAACAATTTGCATATTGTGAGAGTAGATGTTATTGGAAGGTTTGGAGAGTTGGAGAAGTGTGTGTTTGTGATTAAAGCATATTGGAACTTCCTATCAAAAGATTCTAGTGGTCCATCATTGGAAAGAGGAAAAGACTGAGAAATCTTTGTCAGTCAGTGTTTCTAACAGGGTTCTTTACTGAAGGCATTGTCTTTGGGAAGGGAATGAATGGGTAGTTGTCATCCATGGATTGATTTAAGAAGAAAAAGATGCACATATTTTCTTTTGGAGTGAATCCTTAACCTTTGGGATTGTTGCCACCACACGCTATTCTAGGCACTATCCCAGCTTTGATATTTGTGGGCACGTCTCTGGTAGATGAAGTTAAATAAAGGGAAAAAATGGAGGTAAGGAATACTCTAAAGCAGAAAAGTATACAAGCAAAGCATTATGAGGCTTTCTTTGGGAAAAATTTAGGAACTGTTAACAAAACCTATCCTGGTAATAATTATATATGTTTGTAAATTTCTTTTGTTATCTGTATTAAGAAATATGGAGAATATGTCCTTAGTGTGGTTTATAAACAGTGGAACAGATTTAGAGTATAGTGTATTAAAGTATGTGAAAAATTACTGAATTGTTAACAACAACCATTTATGTTTGTCACTGTTGGAAAGTCTTAATGACTTAGTAAAAATATGGGCTCCTGTCCACAAGGCATTTCAGTGATGCTGTGTTTCTTGTGATAGGAAGACAAACCTTTCTCATTTCTCATTTCAAAACTTGCCTCAGGCTGGGGATGTAGCTCTGTGGTAAAGCTCTTGTTGCCATTCCCAGCACCAGAAAAAACAAATCAGAGCAAAACTTGGCTCTCCTATGGAGTGTCCTTTAAGCTCCCAGAATGCAGATAATTTTTTTCTGTCTTTCTTATTGCCTTATCCCAAGGCCTTAGAACAGAGCTTGACTTATGCAGGATGCAAGTTAAATATTTGTGGTATGAATAGTACACTGGGATACTCTTCCTTTTAGTGAAGGTCCTGCATACCTTTTGTTGTAGGACCTCTCCAGCCTTACCTTTTCTGCCAAGTCTGCAGCCCATCTTGAGCTCTTTGAATGTTACCTGTTTATGTCACACTCTTTGGCATTTAATCTTACTTGATGTTGTATTGTTACGGAAGTATTTCATATAGTTTGTTTCCTCACCCAAAATAGAAGCTCCCCAAAGCCAAGGAGTATTTATCTATACAGTCGCATTTTTGAGAACTGCCTTAGTATCCAGTATAATATATAGAGAGAGTAGGTTTGTGTGTACTTATTGAGTGAGTATTAGTTACCATGGGAAAACATCAAAGATATTTAAAAGCATAGGCATTGTTAGTTGGGTAAACCTTGTATGCACATGTGAAGCAGTATGAGAATTTGGAGCTAAATAAAGCAGTAATAGCAAACATTTATGTAGTGCTTAAAATGTGCCAGCTACTGCCCCAATCCCTTTACATGTTCATTTGTTTGCATCTTACGGCAATTCTTTGAAATAGGTGTAATCATGACCCTGTTTTTCAAATGAGGAGACAGAGGCACAGCAAAGTAATTGTTTCTAGCTCAAGATCATAATGTAAGTAATAAGTAGGCAGTTTGGCTCTTCAGAGTTCTCATGGCTTCTCTGGAATGTTTTACTTTATACGTCAAAGCGGGAAATCTAAAAGTTTCACTATTTTGCAGCTGTAAAAGATTCTCTTTTTAAAATTTCAAGGTAGCATAAAAGATTGCAGTGGCTCTGGACTGGCTCTAGGCTGCAGAAACAATGCTAAATTTTCCATATAGAAGAGGTTGATGATGAATTGGCCAAGGGAACACTGTGTGTGGAAATGACTAAAGACAGGGAGAGAATTTTGTATCTCAAAACTGAGTAAGGAATTGAATTCTTTACAGCTATTGAATTCTAGAATAATGATTCACCAGAACGTAGGACAATGACTTTGTTAGAAATGTAGTGTTGAAAAACCTACACCAAATAAAATAATACTAGGCAACATTTGATATCTTACTGCCTTTTTTTTTCTTTAAACATTTACTGGATTTAAAATCTTAATAATTTATCATGATGTTGGTGTTACTGATGGTTTCCTTTTTTGTCCATTTGCTTTGTCCTTTCATGGAATTTTGATCAACTTTTTCAGCTTGTATTGAGCTATAATAGAGAACACTGTTGGTTAGTAGACTTTTAACCATGTAATTTTTTTTTTTTTTTGGTGCAAAAAAATGTAAAATTGTGCTGTTGATTTGGTGGCAGGCCTGGAGTAAAATCAGTTGGAAGCCATGTGCAATTAGATGAGGGCTGCAAACAAAACCCAGCAAGATGAAGAAAAAATTATATTCTCTGAAAGTCCAATTACATATTCCTTTTATTGGAACTGACAGTATAATTTGGGGGACATCGGGCATCAGCAATCACTGAATCTAAATGACTCCACAGTTAGGGAAGTGCACACATCACCCCACCGCTGTCCAGGAATCAGAGGAGGAAGTGCCCTTGAATGAAGTGTGGGTCACAAACCTGGTTAGCAGCCAGGGCGGACACACACTTTGCAGGTATAGTACTCTGTACTATAAATCATTTCTACTGGGAAGGATGTTATGTCATTTGTTCTTGGGTGTTGCTTCATAATTTGAGACAGTGAAGAACTGACATGCTGCCATCATTTTAACATGTGATGGCTTACGTAAAAGCAAGTTATTATAAAATATTGCCCCAAAGTTTGTGTTCTGTTTTAATGTCTGAGGAACTAATTTGGAAAAATTGAGTTAAAATAATCTGTATGGAAGTATTCATCCAGTTTTGGCACATCAGACTTGATTTTTCAGTCTCTCCCTTTAATGATACTAGGATAATTTCATGAAATCTTTACTATCCCATTT